CCGTACAAAATTGGCCATGTGCAGGAGTTGCTTCCGTCTGACCTGACAGCTAGGGAGACGTTTGCGTTAGAATTCCTGACTCGCATGGAAGTGAATAATGAATGGCCATGGAAAATTTTGTGGACAGATGAAGCCCATTTCCATCTGACAGGATACGTGAGTACCCAGAATTGTCGAATATGGGCAACAGAAACCCACTGGTAACGCACCCCGTACCACTTCATCCTGAAAGGGCCACGGTATGGTGTGGCTTTACGGCATCATTCATCCTACAACCATATTTTTTCGAGCAGACGGGTGCTTCCGGTCCTGTTACCGCTACCGTCACTCGTCAGAGATATTCGTCTCTTTTGCGCAACCACGTGATTCTAGCTCTGCAACAGCGTGGATGTGTGGATGGAATCATTTTTATGCAAGATGGCGCTCCTCCGCACATTGCACATTCCGTGAAGCAGCTGCTGAGGCGCCATTTCCGAAATGCTCGATTTATCAGGCGTCATTTCCCTACAGCCTGGCCGTCCCGATCGCCTGATCTTACTCCGTGTGGGGATATCTGAAGGATGTTGTGTTCCGTGCTCCAATTGCAAATTTAGCGGAATTAAAGGCACGCATTTAGCAACACATTCTAAACATCACCGCGGAGACACTGCGATCCGTTGTGGAACATGCTGTTTGTCGCTTTCAACTTGTTGCACACAACAGTGGACACCATATTGAACATGTTTTGCGCCAGTCTCGCGACAGTTCCGAACTTCTTTGATGAATGGTTCTTATGCGGTATGTCGCCGCAAAACTCTTGAAACCGATTTGTCCCTTTCGATGTGATATGTACAGTCATGCAAATGTAAAATTATTCAACAATTCTAATTTGTCAATGCGTTTTAATGTGTAACTTACACCTTAGCCGTTGTTTTACGAATCATTTCTCGTATTTCTCGTCGTGATTCTGCCGCTTACAGCGCCATCTGTTGCTAACTTTTGAAACTAATTTTTTTCTTCTGCCATACGCTTTCCGCCTTCTTCAATAACATTCCTTTCAAATTTCACACCATTTTCATCAGTGGTTCTTTTTTTTATAGCGTTTTGAAACTTAAACTTTAATTATAATCACCCTGTACATTAAAATAAGTTTATGTCTGCCGATTGGTAACAATAAATTTTTAATAATGTCAAAATATTTCGTTAAGTCCTTCGCTTAAAGAGAAAAAATAAATATTCACAGTTGCAAAACTTAAGAAACAATAGTATTTTTAGGAATTACATCTTCAGAACTAGAGGAAACCTGTATGATGATTTGCATAACCGTAAATCTTCAATAGAAGGTTGATATGCAGCCAGATTTCGGAAATGTGATCTCAGAAATGTTGGAAAGAGACGGAATTGTTCGGATGGATTTTCCTGCTCTTTTACCCACTTTAAATCTGCTTGTTTCGGGTAGACATTTTGCCACAAGTTAACATCTACTGCCAACCCTTTGACAACTGAAAGCAGCGCTGAACAAAAAATACCCAACACTTTTTCATCAGCTTCGCTGGAAGTATGCACATGCAAAGCAAAACAAACATTGCATTTCGAGATGTGGCGTCGCCAGGTTGGATGGTAATCGATGCAGATGTTAATGACATTACTCCCATATGATGCTCACTTCATCGAATAAGATTTTTCGAGCACAATGTCTAGGATCAACATATAGGCTAAATTTTGCTTTAGGATGGAATAACTTGCGGATAAAAATTTATAGGGTTTGGTCGGAACTTAAATTGCGCCGGAGCCCACTGGAAACCTTTCAGTTTTTGAGACAAATCATAATTAAATAATCAGCAAATTTATTAATCAGTAAAATAACTCACTGATTGTGAAGAAGATATATCAGATGAAGAAAACTATGAACAATACGTTATTGTACTTATCTGGCAACACTGACCTACTGAACCCAAGTGCGCGAATTCTCCATGCTACCACCCCTCTTCCCTTACTACCAATCTCTCGAGAGGATTTTCGGCTCGTCTCATATTTAGTGTGCCCCCACGTCGCACAGACATATATTTACAAACATTCATGTCTTCTCCAGGATTCGAATGTGAACCCCTTTGTTGTGTTAAGAATAAATTTTATTCACGTTTCATCGGACTTGTGCCCTCATTTTATTGCGAACTCGTACGCACGCAACAATATTTTAAATACAAAATGCCACCAGAAACGTATTACTGATTATTATAAACAAAAATGAAATATAAGTATATGAATCATTAACACATCTTAATTTACAATTATTTATTATCATAAATTTAATATTCTTAATAAATTTTAATATTGACAAAGTATATTTGTGTTAATAAAAAGCATAAATTTTAGTTCTGCATGTCTAAAGTACATTACAAATGTTTTGCCAACTCTTGATTTCAGGACACCTATCATTCAGAAACACTCATTTTTAGTTCCAGAGAAAAGTATAAGGTGTCCTTAAATGACAGGTTTTATTGCCCTTGCATCCCCCCGCTCGAATAGCCAATTGCTAAAGTTTCTCAGTTTTGCCTTCTTTTGACCTATATTTCATACAAAACCATTACCAATCCTTTCGATAAAGACAAAAACGTAAACGAAGCTTCTCGCGATGGTCATATCTCAAATTCCAGGACGAAATTTCATCACAATGCATTACAGTGGGTTAGACAGTAAACAAATAACTGCAGAATAGCACATTCGATAGAGGAAACCATTCAATTGAAATAAACAATAATAATGGGCATAGAAAATTTTTGGAAATTCTTCAGGGTGTGTTGCTCATAAAGCTGGAAATAAAAGAGATCTTTTTATATTTCCTGGGAGGGGATTTTTCTTTTCACACAAAAGTGCCAAGCAGTTGCAAGAAAGAAATCTTACTGTCACTGTTTTCCTCCCAAGGGACCACCTCTAGCTATTAGAATGGTATGAGCACTGATGATACTACCTACAACTATCTCGATGTTCTCATTGTCGAGAACATTGACAGGTCAGTTTAAGTGAAGTTTACATTTAAGTGATAAGTGAACATTTACATTGTTGTCAGTTGAAGTGAGTGCATACAGTTCCAAACGTTTTTGCAGGAACTGTAATAAAGATTCAATTAGACTACAAAATTAAAATTAAAAAAGTTAAAATACGTCAGAATGAATTATATTAAAGGTGCCATGACAAGAAAGGTTCCTTCTTGGAGGAGGGATTAAATATTTGTCAGTATTAACAAATATAGAAATCATTAATAATATTTCAAAAGTACAAGAATAAAGATTTTCCCAACACACTGGAAACAAGTTATTTTAAAGGGGGGGGGGGGGAACTTAACAGAAGTTCAAAAATTGCAATTCATTAGAGACTTAGCTAAATTAGCTATGAGAAACTATCACAGCATACCAATCAGTTATTCTGGATTATATAATATATTTTAACTACATTTATCACTACTTATCACCGTAACCAGAAATGAGAGAACGTTCTCAAAAGCGAAATAAATAAAATTAAAAATTTAATTTAATTAAAACTTAAAAAAGAATAAACAGCTTTTTGAAAAACACTATTATGCAAGATCGTTTGTCAAGCTTATCAAAGCTCATCAGTTTCGAGAGTTAATAAATAATTTTGCAGCGAGGAAAATTAAAAATTAATAAATCAGAAATTTTTTATTTATGAATGATTTTTAGCTATCATTTTTTATCAATTATGTTAGTCAGTTGCGATATTACTTTAAATACCTTTTTTAAAAAATGAACAAGACAAAAGAAAAGATTGTAGACCGGAAGAAATTAAAAGCAGCCCTTTCTCCACAAAAGTATTAGATTTTTAATTATTTAACAGTTTTAACTAAAGAACTCATTCTTTAAAAAGAAATATTAATTAATATACATAAAACTGTAATTGCATTACTGCGTTAAATTCTATTGTCTAGCACAAGTAATAACTGTAAGTAGATTTATAGATAATTCTGTTTTCGAAACATTAAATTATCACTGTGTGAAACATAAAAAATAAATAAACGGAATAGCATATTGTGATACAAGTACTGTGTTTCAGAATTAATCATTATGTTTAGAAATCTCATACGTAACCTGCCACGGAGAGGATAACACTTCCATCCAGAACAGCAATAATCTCTAAAAGGATTATTCTGCCATTTAATATATTTATTTATTTTTATTCCTTGTATTGCAGAAAGGTTTTAAGCGATAAGAAATATAAATTTCAGGTTTAAATAACACGAACTGTTACACGCTACAGATCACTTCTAACTATTAGAGCAAACATAATCATTATGTTTTAGAACTGTCCAGATTTCTGTTTCCATACTTTGAAAACAGGTAAATTGTTGATTAACTTACACCAAGAAGCCATACTCCAGCGAAAGAGTAATTAAAAGTTTATTTTTAATTAACTAAGTTTCACAGCACCAAATTAAAATTAACATTTAAAACTTTCTCTTAATATATTAAAAATATTGTCATAAATAATGATTAAAGTTAAGTAAAATATTATTTAAAAAATTTTATCAAGGCCAGAGAAAGGCAATACGAAAAGGACGCCGGGTGCCCGCATGACGCAATGTAGAACACCGTGTTACAGTATTCTAAAGTCATAAACCGGTGGAAATATTCCGTTTAATGACATCAGGGACAAGAAAAAAACGTTATTTATTCGAATACTTTAAATGACTCGACACCAAGAATTTTACAACAGCAATTATCCGTCTTTCTCTTGTCTAAATATTTACTTCCGCTTTAAAGAGAGAAAAGAAACGCGTGCCAACAAGTTGCACGTCATATACGATCCCGAAAGCAGCGCTGACCTTCATTTGCGACCGAAACGTTAACGGGAATTAAAAACTTTACTTGTTTTACATATATAGCAACGAAATTCGGATTTCTAGTTACTTTTGCTCATAACCAGACATTTCTGAATATCTTCACAGTTCATTCCATGCATATTAAACAAATAAATAAAATAATAAGAATATTTTTCATACGCACCTGCCTATTCGAAGTGAGAACAGAACTTCCGAATCCGCCATTCTTTGCCACGCAGCTCGTATGGAGTGACGTCAAGAATTGGCGGGATTAGCGAACCAATAAAAACAAAGTATTCTTTAGTTTCGGATACACTTGCGAAAATAGAGCAATTGTTCGTTTTAAGTTGGTTAGGTATTTCGCGAGGAAAAAAAAAAGAAGCAACAGTGGGTTATCGTCCTTTGCAATGTAGGTCACGGTCGTAAACTTGACAAAAATTAACGAACCGGATGACTCCATGAAAGTTAAATTTTGTTCTACATTCGCACTTTCATGTCACCTTTCTTAAGAGAATAAAATGCTCGTCTAGATTCGTTTAATTTGCCAAGTCACAATAGCTAGTTTTTTTTTTTTTCCCCTTCTTCTTTTTTGTCCCCTTTAAAAAAATAATAAATAGAATTGCTCTTTATTTGTATGGATTGTTTTGCGATTAAAAAGATGGCGTTTTTATTTTTATTTTTATTTTTTTTTTTTTAATCCTTCCAGGGCTGTCTTCTTTTGAGGTAAGACTTCGCAGTGTCTGAGGTTTTAAACTAGTTATATGAAAAATAGTATGCATTTAAAGCTCACTAGGAACCTGTAGAAGAAAGGCAGAAGAGGAACTGCAGCTCTCAACATTAATTTGCATTAAGATATGGCGTTCCATATTCAGTTACTTTAGGACATGGTGTTCTTATCAGGAGTAAACCTATTATTCTGAATATAAACTGGATTGTTTCATTAAGGCAAAAAGACTAACGTTTTAAGGATTGGTTAACTGATTAAGACAAATCATACCAGGCCTGGTGGAAGGGATGCGTGCATAGATAATTTTCTGAGAAAAATTAGGTTGTATTCAAGTTTAACATGCAGAAATCAGGAGAAAGGCCATGCACCCGTTTATCAGGATTAGAATCCGGGCTGAATTAACCAATATTAAGCGGTCTTAGCCAGTTGGTCACAGGTGAACCATATGCTAAAGGGAAGCATGCATTTGTGAAACCCTTTCTAAGATAAACTATTTGAGCTGCACATCATGAAAATCTGTACTGCGCTGGGAAAATTTAGCTCTCTACACTGCTGTTTCAATGGCTCACCAGGAAGAGATGGCAAGAAACCAGAAACCGGTATTTCCGGGGCTATAGTTATTATGCCGTTATTCGGTTGCCATGAAAAATGCTTAAAATTATTGCTTTATGTATACACATAAAGTATACATTCAAGAAATCTAGGATGAATGTCAACAAAAATTTATTAATCTAATTAAAAATTATTATTTGTGTAATCGTCACTATTTTATTTTTGTAAATCAACAAGGATGGAAGAATGTGTACACTAGATGTTCCGACATAAATTGCCTTAAAAGCAGTGGAAAGAAGAAAAATCGAGGTGGGGGGACACAAACGCTCCATTATTCTTTAGATTACATGCATAAGGTTTTATGCTAATTAATCCATTATCTTATTATTTTTAATGGATTTTCACTCTCGGCGATTCTCACCAGGATGTAAATTAGTTGTCGTGTATACGGAGTTCTTGAAGTTAGAGGGAAAGTTGCTGGCAGTGACGCCGACCTACTATTTCTCGCACAACTTCAAAATTATTTATTTCGGCTTTATACATTTGCTAGCCGTGTTTCTCGTGCAGTAAAATTTCTAAACCGAAACCTGAGACGGTTTTGCCTTGTAACTTTCATGTGTTAAACACTTTAATAGAATTCTGTCAGTTTAAATCCCGCAAGCAGCAGGGATTTTTTCTGTAGAGAGTGAGGTATATAATTGTTAAATTTGAAGTTTTAATAAAATGGTTTCTTCAAACCTTCTTTTGTGTACAGTTGCTTTACTAAGATGGGCAATAAGTCCCTTTACAGACTTACATGGAATCACTTTTATTCCCTATACAGTACTATTATTACTGTTTACTGCATTTCTTTTCAGTTTGCATCAATAACCATCTAATTGAACCGTATTAGCGGAATTTAAAGCTACAATTAAAATCAGTCGTTATGAAAAATCTTTTTAGAATTCGAGTAGCAGCTAAAAATTCATCAGATAGAGCGTTTGCTTATTTTAATAAGATGAGATTTATAAGGTGAGGTGAATAATTCCTCTATCCTCTGATGAAGAAGAAAAGACCAAAAAAGCTGAGAGATCAAGATAAGAAAACGGGAAAAAAGCAACTGCTTCTGCTTAAGATTTTTTTTTTTTTTTTTTTTTAATGGCCGAGCGCTTTATTTAATAGCCATTAGCCTGGCGCCACTTCAGGGACCGGAAGTGGTGGCCATTTCATTATGAAAGCACCTAATAGGTGGCTACTGTTGCCTCTCATGAAAGGACAGACAGTTACAATTATGCCTTCTCCGAGATTCGAACCGGGGCCCATCGCTACGGCAGCTAGAGTTACTAACTTCTATACCGTCTGGAGGGCTTTCTGGCGTAAGCTCCTCTTCCTAAATCAAATGGCCATCTCTTAGAGAGGGGTTACTTGGAATATCGAAATAGCAAGGATTTCGGGGCGAATATGAAGCAAGATATACAGTCAAGCTAAAGACGAATAGACCAATTCAAATTCTTTGGTGACACCGCTATAACGAACTTTTAGGAGAAAAATGCATTTTGCAATAGAGTGTAAAAATTGACAAAGATTAAAAAAGCAAAAGACTGAAAATCATTGTCCTATTTCCCAACAGAAGATAATAATAATTCTAATTTGAAAAAAAATTAGGGTTAATTACAATAATTATCATCTGAAATGATTGTTTTTTGATGTTTTTTCGATTTCGCCATACGTTAATAATTTTATACAATAAATTTCTTATTACATGAAAGCCATAATTTAGACTCGTCTCTCCAATGACACATCTCTGTGTCTTTGTCTAAAATATATATTTGTAATAAGCTTTTGTCCAGATAATGGAAGATTGTGACATATTTTTAAATGATGAACGTTTTCAGTAATGCTTCTTCGACATTCTTTTTTTTTTTTGTCGTATTAATATTTTTTTCGTGATTAGAAATTATCGATTCTCTATCTTTCCACACGTTAATATCAACCAGGGGCAGTTCTATGGTATTCTCCCTCTCCTGATGCAAACTCTGGATTTTTAAGTTCCCAGTTTCTTTGGTTCTCAAAATAGATTCACAAATATAGGTTCAATAGGGAAAGTTTTGCCGCCCTTAAATTTTGCAGCCTCTGGCAGCGGCCCTGATATCAGCTATAGATTTGAATAAACCGTATTCCTGGCAGATTCTGCTACATCCCTTCCGTTCTCTTCGAAGGATACTCACTTTAATACAGAACATTACATATTTACGACTTTTGAATTTTTGACACCCAAAATTTTAGTAATGAGATAAAAGAATGTGTGAAGGGAAAAAAAAAAATAAAGGGAAGATAATTTCATCAATAAACTATCCTATCCAATGTCTAATAAGAAAACATTCATTTTCTTCAAGGTATGTATTGTATAAAGGTAAGGGCGTAATAGTCCTTAGAAATAATATTTTAAAATCCATCAAAAGGTAAAAAGAATCTAACTATCCCCCATCCTCTCACCAGCGGCCGAGGGGTAGATTCGCTGATGCACTGAACTCAGGGTTTCGAATCCCAGGCAAAGGTGGGTGTTTTCGTGGTTTAACCCATGTGTAGAAAATATATTGTTTTCCCTTAGAGAAAATTCTGTAAGAAGGCATCCTTTCCCTACAAGCAGATAGCCTGCAATGCTTTGCTGAAGTTAAATAAACCAAACCGTCCACCATTCAGAACACAGAACTTGGATAGCATTTTAAATACTGCCACAAAGTAAACCGGTAAGGATAAGAAATTTACTTTCCCGAAAAGAAGAGTCACTTGTATAAACCCAATGCCATAAGAATCTATTCGCTATGTCTTCTTTACCTGAATAATAAAAATTTCAAAGCTATCAGTCTTCAGCAAAGCTCCGTCTAAAACCTCAGTCAAATAATTTGAATAGAATTAGAAAGCTCATTCAAACTGTTTGATTCAATTGTCACGAAAACCATGTAGTGTCTTAAGATATGCTTATTGTGCATCTCGTTCTTCAACAACTAGGTGTGACATCTGTCACTACAGTATTTATTTAGAAAACAAAGAGAGTTGTGGAGCTGAAGGCAAAAAAGATAGCAGTGTGAAAGTTGTTCCATGATTTTAACATGGAAAAACTACTGTTTTAACATGGAAAGAATCTTAACATCTTAAACATGGATGATTTTAAGAGTTAGAAAAGTTAAGGTTACACTGCATACTGTCTGCAATGCATAGCACAGACACAGCTTAAGAATGACACCGGCACACGATAGACATTGACATATGATCGACACGATAGACCAGAAATTTTGCTAATTATGTAATAAAGAGTAAGATAATGAATTTATAATTGTTTCCTCACACAGAGATGTCAGAGATATATGAACGACACCGTGCATTGTCGACATCGACATAGAATCGTCATGGCGTAGGAACAACACCGGCAGGCAAACGTTACAACATTTGTACATTAGAAAATGTAGAGACGAATTACGATTAGAACAGCACATAATCGTGAGAGGGGAAAGGGGAATTTGATTAAATTACGAGTATTATTTTTTAGAGTAAATGCATAAGACTGATATCGCATAAAGTGGAAACCATTTATTGAGCTTCTTTGTTAATCCTGTGCCGGTAGAGCAGTAGGTTCTATCCAATGTCGGTTCTGTGTTGTATTCCCGTAATGTTTTAGTTAAAACTTACAGGAATTCTAGAACCAATTATGAAAAACGCACACATACCATACACATGCACAAAACACATACAAAAAAAAATTATAAAGATCGTTATATTTCATGTTGATACATTTGAAAGTTCGCTATGGCTGTATAAAGTAACATTGTGTAGAAAATTGGAACCGGACGGAGAGAAAGCTCATTCGCTGTGCGTGGGAGTTCGCTATAGAAGGATTTGACTGCATTACATATTTACAAGAAAAAAAAAAAAAAGTGATTACCACGAAGTTCTACC